CAATGGCATGAATGTCAGACATAAAGTTAGATTTTATTATGCAAAAAGCTGTTACAGCCCTCAAACAACAACTATAATATGAGCAACAGTTTATGAAATTCATGAAAAGCTAAATATAAGGCAGCTTTTTCAATCAAGGTAATTTAAAGTAAAACCAGGATATTAATGCATTTAGATATTTTTCACATCTCCTCATGCGAAAAATAATCAATTTGAAAGATTTGATTCTTTATATCTCTTCGTTCTATATCCAGAGGCATAGCTAGAAAATTTTTATAAGGGTGGCCAGGCATTAACCAATGTACACTGAGGGGTGGCTGAAAATGGATAGGCGGCAGAACCTCTGGGTCAATCTACACTGATCCAGCAGGAAAAATAACAAGCAAAACATCCATATTAGCTAAATAAAGGCTAACTATACTTTCCTACAGCCTTTTTCTAACAAATAGATGCATATATTTAAACATCCGTGCTTTCCAGATAAAAGGTATAGTGGAAACAATTCTTTCAGGTTAGACTTCTGGGGTGAACATCTTTTCCATGATCATACTTTCCTACTTTTATCAATAATCATTATGCATAAAATTGACATTTACAAGTAATATCTGCATAAATTGATTATTTAATACGTTTTTATACTATAATATATAATAATACTATAACGTTTTATACTATAATAGTTAACTATGATTTCACTGAAGACTCCTTGATAGTTTGCAGAGACACGTCATTTTCTCTTTACCCCATACAACACAAAATCTAGTTCTATCTATTAGTACATTGATGTGGATGATTAACAACAATGTTTTTCTTGTCAAGTAATTGTTAATGTGTGAAAAATTTTAATGTTTTGAATATTCCACTTTAGAGTATTACTGCTGCCATCATCTTTATTAAAGGGAAAAATTGGTAAATAATTGCCTAACCACCCCCCACCACCACCCCCACCCCCCATCTAGCTCTGCCCGTGTCCATATCCCCTCAGCTGAACACATTTAACATCATGGTGCCATTTTCTGTCCTAATTTAAGGAATGATGACTGGCAGAGTAATGCAATCTGTAATTTATAGATCAGGCAGTAATTTAAGTAAAGTAAATTAGTTTGATCTTAGTATGTTTTTAAATGTTTTATTATTTTAAAGCAGCATATATAGTATTGTATTACCTGTCAAACATCTCTGAGTCAATAGCCGCTCTCAGCACCCATCCAAGGAGCGGGACCCCAGCCAGCATCTTGATGTTCTTTAGTGGGATCCCTTTGCTTCCCCCTCTAGCCAGGACCAGAGCGGCCAAATGTCTCCCCTCAGCCTTTTTGGATCTGCTCCCATGATCCTGCTGACCGTTTTTCTCGCGGGGTCCTAGATTTCTTGCAGCCATTAGGAGCTCACTGTGGTTAAACAGAAATGGGTCCTGGATCAGCTCTCAGTGGTGCACAGTCACCTTTGAAAATGCCTTAAGGGACCAGAGAGGCAGCTGCAGGGCTTGTTAAACACGGAAGGATAATACGTGTCATTAAACCGGTGCATCCAGTGTGATGGACTGACCCACCCCTTAGTACAATACACTGACAGTCACCACATGCATTAAGCCAGCCCTAACTTCCTTCTATAAACAGGTTTGCACAGAGCTGCTTCTGAAATGTTGCCAAGTGCATAATCTCACCCTGATAAGACATCTATTTACGCACTTACCCACTATTTGACCCCTTGTTTGCAATCACTGCTTGGACACAGGAGTTCAGCTATGAAGCTGCAAAAAACAAAACAAAAAATCAGTGTGAATTTTTCACTTTCAGGAAAGACTTAAAAATTGTGAAGGTGTTCAAGTTGAAAATAGCATTCCCTTGGGAAAAATTGTTTCACTAAAAAATAGTTTATGATGTCTTTTATGATGTAGAGAACAGATTTCCTCTCAACACAATCATTGCATCGATCTTTCTCCTTTAATTACTTTACTTCAATACAATTTGTTGTCAATCAAGGCGAGAAATATGCGTTCTTGCTGTGCGTTAAAAACTAACTGAGGTGCATAAAGAAATCAGCAAATAACTCAAATTCTATTTGAGAGCAGGTGTAAAGGAGCCAGAGGGCAGGATATTCAACAATAACAAAACAATGCTGTTCAAATCTTGATTAGCAACATGTTCTTTAGCTTAAGCTCTGAGGCATTAAACGTTAAGATTTTTAGAGGTGTTCATTTTGAGGTTCTGAGTTCGAAACCCAAAGACTGTTACCTGGGCGCTCCATGATGGCAGACCACTGCTCCCCAAAGGGGATGGGATAAATGTAGAGGTAAATTTCTCCAATGTGAGATCAGTAAAGTTTAATTGTATTAATAGTATTATTATTATCATATATCTTAAGAAAGTTTTAGATTCCCCCAACCTGCAGGAGAGGAAAAACTGATCCTAATCTAAGAAGTCATGTTTCACATGAACTCTGACCTTAAACCAACTTTCTCTTTCTTTCTTTCTTTCTTTCTTTCTTTCTTTCTTTCTTTCTTTCTTTCTTTCTTTCTTTCTTTCTTTCTTTCTTTCTTTCTTTCTTTCTTTCTTTCTTTCTTTCTTTCTTTCTTTCTTTCTTTCTAGGAGGATTGACTAGTAGGAGTTTGCCCTGCAACCTGAGGCTTTCACTTTTGTAGTGTCCTTGGGCAAGATACTTGATCACCTGTTGATGGTGGGTGGAGCCAGTATACGGCAGCCTTGCTTCTGTCAGTGAGCTCCAGGGCAACTGTGGCTACATTGTAGTTTGTATATAAGTACAGGACGATTAGCATTTATTTCTGTCATCAGCTTGTTGAGCTTTTAAAGTAATTTGCTCTAATTACTCCAGCAGATAATGCAAACACTGATTCTCTAGGCTTTTTAGGAAAGTGCAGTCTGTTGTATCCTGTCCTGTAGGCAGCTTCACAGTAGCGTCTCAGACTAGTTTGTTGTAGAGGTGAACACCAAGGTATTTCTACCCCTTCAACTCCTCATCTTCATCTTGCTCCTGGTTCATCTGAGATCTACAATCATCTCCCTTCTTTTGTTCTCATTCAGAATCAGATGGTTGTTTCCACACCATCCATCAGAGGTTCCCCATTTCCCTGTTCTCTGCTTGTTATCCATCTTTGATGCACCCAATTAAACGATTTAAAACTAGAAGACAAAAAAGATACACCTTGGAAATTATTATTTTTTTTTTAAGGTTTTGTTTTATAGAATATTTTACACAACCATTTATCTACAGAGTCATTTATTTTCAGAAAAAATGAGACAAAAAAGGATAATTATTGATATTTTTTGTTTTTGGTCAGGCAATGTTGACAGTATATTTGATTAGCTAGAATAGTATAGTAATGGCTAAAATATAGCTCATCCTCAGCTTTTTAAGAGAACAAATGTGATGTCGAAATATGGATACTGAATATACATAAGGTCTATGTCTTTAGAACATTTGGAATAATAAAGGTAATTTATTTACTTTAATATAATCCAGAACTCTCACTACATATATATGGATCCCTGTTATGTGAATAAAATAATTTTGTTTTTAAACTCAATCTGAAGCAGGTATAATGGCAAATGAGTCTGAAGTGCTCCCCTCTTGTGGAAAGTGATGGAAATTACAGCAACTGCAGTGACTGGTCATACCTTTTCTTCTGTGCCCCACAAACCTTCTGTCCATCACAGGTTCAATTAAACCCATTTCTGTAATTGGTCAACTTATAGGGGGCATAATTAACTTAGAATACTAATGAAATATCAAATGTAAATATGATAATGCATAGCCCAAGTGAGAGTTATAAAGGTTCTCTACTTCTTGCCACTGAGCAGATATGTTAAAACAAACTCAGTCAGGTTAAGAAATCCTGAGCAGAAACTCAAACCTTTCAGTATCTATTTATTTCATTCTTCTGATTCATTTCAGGTATGGTAAAATAAAACTAAGTCTTCTTTTCAGTCTAAACGTCTGCAAAGGTCCCTCCATGGCATTACGATCATGTTTAAGGTGTTGACTTTGAACGAACCATTAAACACTTTGATTCTTCGTTTTTTTTAGTCTTTCTGTAGTGAATTTGATGCCGTTTGTGAACAATGTTCCCAGAGGGTGCAGCGAGCACTTGATGATCTTGTTTTCACCCCCCTCTCAGGAAAACCTGACTGCAAGGTTCTCACAGCCCAAATCATCAGCCCTCCACCACCGTGCTGTAGAGCTATGAGGCGTTTTCCTCTGTATGGTTTTATTTTTCTGGAAACATGGTGCTGTGTATTATGGACAGGCATTTCCACTTCGCTCTCATATTTCTAAACGACATTGTTAGTATTTTAGTTCTTTAAGACACCTTAACAAATCTGCTCTGTAGAAACAGACATGATTCATTCAGTCAATTAAAGATGATCTGGAATAAAGCTCTTGGATCCTCAGCTTCTTAGAGAGTTGATTCCAATTTTGTGAGATCAAGACCTGATGCTTCTTAAAGCTCACCGTTCATGCCTTAATAATACATGTCTATTATTATGTCTGGCTATAGACACAAGAATGTAGCTTTCTAAATAAGATTTTTTTTAAATTTTTTGAGGAGATACAGATAATTACTTAGAATGAAAAATAGAAAAAAAAAAGTAAACATCTGATTTCATTTTCTCCTCACTATTTTTGATCCCATGAAAGCAAAAATCAAGAATATGCTTGCCTTACATGTTTCAATGGAGAAAAAGAAAAACAACAGACACTGCTTTGGAAAAGATAATTTCATTGAAAAATCTTTTCAGAATCAACATTTCATCTGAAAATGTCAACAACAACAACAAAAAAATTAGACAGACCGAAATTTTCACACATTGGGAATCAATAAATATAGCGAATATAAACCATCATTCTGATTCCATAACACCATCCTAGTATTATTACCCCTACCCCCACCCCCCCCCACACACACACACATTCCACATACCAACAGACTGAAACCAAAGAGCAGCAAAACAGGAAAAACATGCACCAGTTTTTCAATCATGTTTTAATAATTATGTATAGAAATATCTGCAAGAGAGATGTTAGACCCTGCATGTGTGCAATAAATTAGGCTGCAGATTCAAGGCAAGTATTAAGATGGTCTAAACTAGGACAGATCTGCCAAATGAACACAGATAGTATCAGCTGGCTTAGCCATTTGGAGCTGCTGACCATCTCAGACCGTAGCACACCTCTTTGATAAAGTGGATATGACCTCATTAATCTCAGATAAAAAACAGAGAAGTTCCATTTTGTGTTTTTTTTTCCCACAAAAGACTATATCCAAATTTGGCCCCTTGTATAGTTCATTGTATAAACAAGAAAACGTACACGTTCATAAGTAGAGTCATCAGAATAGGCATGCAGTCATTTCCGCTTTTAGTGTCACCAATCTGCAGTAAAGGCGGGAGGATGCAGATTAAACTGTTAATTAATCTCTTTATGATCCGGATAAAAATAAAAAAACTACCTCCCAGCAGTGAGCTCCAGTCAGAAGGTTACCTCCATCGGGCTGATGCCTTCTCTTTCCACACTAGACTGATAACACAGCGTGCAACCACAACAGAAATCTGCATACCCTATACAAAGAAGGCAGAACGGGTGGAGCTCATGTTCACAGAATGGTCTGCTTGCACAGACCTGGCTTCTGGGTGTAGTCCACAAATATTGAATTTGTTGAGGTCAGGCATTCAGAAAGCTTAATGTTAGCCTGCTTTAAAACCAGTTCTAATGGGATTGTCGTTCTGCTGGTTAAAGCTCAAACCATTAGAAGCTACATTTGAAGACCAATTGAGGTCATCATTTCTATGCTCCTTGGTAGAAAATACCGTCCCACTGTTAGGAAACTGGCCTAGAGCATCATGCTGTCATCCCCGATTTCATCCAGGGAGCTGCTCTATTATAAGAACCGGTGAAGATGTTCAGCAGGAGCTTAGGATCCACCCAGAAACAAACTAGGGCTGGACGACATGGTTTTAAAAATCTAATCCTTGATTTTTTTCCTCCACTCCATATCAGATTTAACCATTTTTTCTCACTTCAGTTTTATAATGAAAATAAATCAAACTGATTTTAAAACAAGATCTGATTGATTTCAATGATCCACTCTGAGAGGTTACCTTAATTTACAGGGTAACGCAATTCAAGCTTTGAAACAATCATGCTTTAGAACAATGGAAATAGAACACACTGAATGTTTGCACTAAGTGGTAGCACATAGTGAGCTAGTTTATCAATATCTAAGAACAACCAGTGGTGAACTGATGTTAGTCCAAGTTGTGGAGGACCAAAAAAATCTAGCTCAAACTAATCCCTCGGTAGAAACTAGTGGAACCCTGGTGAAATCAGATTACTATCAACACAGACTTCACAATCCTCACTTCCAATCCAGGTGGAAATGTTGAGCTGTGATTATAAACGAGGCTCTCAAACCAATGGAACAGTGCTCCAACTTTAAAGTATGGTGGTGGCAGCATCATACTAAGGGACTGTTTTTCTTTCACTAAAGCTGGTGGATGATGAAGCTATTCCACTTCAGAAGCAAGATGGAGGAGACCTGCACCCAGTTACAACAGACGCTCAGTTTCTAGAAAAAACAGCCTTACAGGCTGATGTAACTGAGCTAAGCTAGTTCTGCCAGCAACAGCATTGAAGCAGTTATTAAAGCTTCTTTTAATATTTATGAGCCAGTGTCAACTATTTAGACCTAAAGGAGGAAAAAACAAAAGAAAGTGAATTAATTCTGTGTCTTTTTCCTAGAAACAAATGACCAGAAATTAATCTGACATTCATGTCCAAGGGGAGTTTATGTAGACCTCTGACTGATACTATATAATGCATGAAGTACTGCATTGACAGTACATTGGTAACCAGTGGAGGGAGTCTGGTTCTGATCTGTTCTCCTCTTTTCTATATCTTCTACTCAAACAGCCTGAAGGTCCTATCTATTGGCAGCATGGTGCCACTGAGGTATCGCTGAATGATATAACTGATCCCACATCAAAAGTTGTGGCGGTCGATCCGGTCCTGCTTCATCTGAACTTTGGCCGTTTCCTTCTGCAGAAGAACGTGTTCGGCGAAGTCCCTCACGGCTCCCGCCCCTCCGGCGTACTTGCAGGTGTATTTGGCAGCTCGAGCAGCGCCGGGCGGAGCGTCTGCTGGCGCCGCGCTCAGGCCTGCTAGATTCAGACAGCTGGCATCTGCTGCGTCGTTACCTGGGAGGGGACAGTTAGGAAAATATTTACCTTCCTGCTATGGCGACTTCTCAAGATGATATGCAAACATGCTTGTATGGAAATTCAAACATTTCAAGTTTTCTTGTTTCATAAATGACCAAACATTTATTTGAAAGATCAAACATTCATTGTTTTCTACCCATATAGGCCACGTCCTTCCAGTCAAGCTTCCTCTTCTCCACTAGCGGCTTTATGTCGTTTAGAGGCTCCTCTCCAACCACCATGACTTTACACCCCGTCATCTTCTTCAGTTTGTCGACCATCAGCTGGATCACATGGTCCTCCCTGGAGACCAGCAGGACCACCTGGAGAACAAAGACGGTATGGTCCTCTGTAGGAAAAGAGGTAGCATTTCACGACAAAAGGCGACGGATCCAAACCTCCACGTCGTCTTTCTGCAGCATCCTGATACCCGCTGTGTCCGTGCTGTGGACAGAGACTGTGTCCTCTCCAGACACGGACAGGAAGACCCGCCCATCAGTCAGACATCCTGAGACCTTACAGAACATCAGGGAAACCCCGCGACCGAAGTAACCGAATCTGTTGGGAGCCCAGAAACGCAAAAATAACAGAAGCAAAAAGCAAAGTAAGACCTCCTGGCAGGAAAATGATTGAAATGACAAATAGGAGAACTTTAAACAGCATGTCACTGAATCACTGAATGGCAGATCAAATCTAAAGCAGGTCTCACCGGAGAACCCTCTGCTCCGCCACGGGCCAGTCGATGTCCACGTCGATGTCCACACTGTGCTGCGGCTCCATCTCAAAGTAGGCCACCCTGCCGCCCTGAGAGAACGGCCAACCCAAACATCAGAACAACAGAACTGGAACTGATTAGAGTGAAATATTCACTCATCATAGGAATAAGAGTCATTATTTTTGATTATTTAATAATTATTTACAGATAATTTTAACCCTTTACCAGCTAAATGTAGATTTCATTGTAAAAAATAACTAAGCAAAACTATTCTGGTTATCACTATTGATAACATTTTAAATTTTGAATCGATCGTTGATTCTAAATTCAGTCTAAGTTGGTCTTTTGATTTTCAAATATTTATTGCTGTAATTAGAAATCAGTCACACCTTCTAAACATTTATTAAGGAGTTTTAGCTAATTCTCCGATATCATGACAATTAAAACATAAAAAAACTACATAACTACAATTAAATGTCTATTTTTTTTTTTTTTAATGCCTTAATTTTCAATTTCTGTCTTCTAGCATTTTGATCTAGTTAGCCTTAAGGTCAATTTATACCCAGGGTTCCTATAGCATAAGGCAAGTTAAATTCAAGACTTTTTAATGCCACTTGAAATAAAAACGTAAGACCAAATTCACAAGAAACACAAGAAAAAACCTGCTTGCGACAACTTAACCCAAAGGTTTATTATAACATAAACCACTGCACTAATGTTTTAAATTTTGAAAAGCTTCCCATACAGGAAGAAAGCAGATATATTTTAACAATTATTTAACTGAGTTTACAAACTTTGTTTTGCAGAGACAAGGGTGGAACAAAACCGAGAAATACCGGCTGTTTCTCGGTAACTCGATTTTGATGCTTTGTGTTTCGTGCTTCGCATGTGTGACTCCACTGCCTTAATTCCCATCGTTCCGAGCTTGAATGACTTCTTGCACAAAATACACTGTGCCTCATGTTTGTTCCCTGGTACTGGTTTTCCAGACAAAAAGTTAATGGTGCATCTTCCAAATGTCCCGGCTGCAACAACGCTTTTATTGGTTCCGCTATCGGGACGGAACCAATAATGGCGAGCTGTTTTTTTTTTATGAAAAAAAAAAAATGTCAATTTTAACGTTTTATTTAGATTACAAAAATAAATCAGAATAAAAATAATCCTATTTATGATGTTTTAAAAATTAAGACCTACGAAAGACTGATTTAAGAGATTTTAATACCAATTAAGGCCTTAATTTTATTTTGAAGAATTCAATGCCTTTTAAGACTATGCGTCAGGACGGTCGCAAACCTGTGTAGACCTCAAGCGGAAGTGCGCAGACAAAAAGCAGCTGTGATTTGTCCTCGGTATGACTTTCCACTTGTCTGTCGAGGAGTAATAACAACAATGGATAACCACTACGAAAGGTTGATCGAGGAGCTTCGGAAGTACACCCACTTGTACGATGCCTCAGACATGTTGTTTTGGAAAATAAACACTCCCGCCACCGTAGAAGTCTTCGTAACCATCCAACGAAGTTCTCGCAAGTTCTCAATAGGGTCCCCCTTGCGCTTTGGCAGGAAACTGCGTTCCCAAAAAAGGACCCAAGCAACCTTTGATGCATGCGGATGCAGGAGAATAATCCGCCCTTTATTCCCCCATACATGTTCTTGTATATTCTAATTAATGCGTATTTTTTTATTCCTTCCTTATTTACTTTTTTTACCCAGCTTTTATTATCATTACACTGTCACAAGTAAAGCAGAGCGAAATTCACTCTCTGCATTTAAAACATCCCCTTGGGTATGAGGGTGGGTTGCGCCCGGGAGCAGCATGGGGTTAAGGGTCTTTCTCAGACGGCCACAGTGGCAGTGTGTGGGAGTGGGTTTCGAACTCACAACCTCACATTTCTAAGCCCTATGTCTAAGTGAACCCCACTGCCTGCTTGTTTTCAGGTGTAACTATCAAAATAATTCATATTTTACTGTATATGTGTCCATAAAATAGGTACTTCTTGTTGTAGTAATCAGTTTTTAGCAGTAAGATTAAAAAAACAAGGACCCTGTCACTTTCAATTGTCGGGGTGAGAGTATTATTCCAAATTCTCCAGATTTTGGATGCTTGTGACTTGCGCAATCAAACCCTTACATGCATTTCCTCCATGTGAGGTGCTTAGGGTTTAGTGCGAGTATTGGGATTAAAAGCAGAGTTTATGCCAGGAAAACCAAAATAAATTCTACCAATTCCTTAAAGAAGAGTGTTGCTGTTCAGATTACTAAGTGACATTTATTTTAACAGTATAAACTTATTCTAATCTGGCAATAGAAATGATCCATTAAAAGCTTTAAATGATGAAGACCTTCCTGCAGGTGCGTTATTGTGGAAATGTACAACTGGAGCTGTATTCACAGGAAGGCTCAAACACTGAAGCATCAGCGACAGCTCAGATACCTGCAAGCGTCCCTGATCCATGACCAGTTCTCTGGTGGCGAAGTAAAAGGAGCCGTTCTCATACAGCTCTCCGTCCCAGTCCTGGCGCCGCGGGCGATTGGCAGGGTCCAGGTTCTCTGGCTGAGTGCATTCTGCACCTGGAAGGAAGGACAAAAAGGAGGACAAGACACAGAGAAGCTCAGATATAGAACATTTCCTGCTGTGGAGTCTTTGAACGCTCACTGAAACCCTGGACTCTCCCAAAGAAACTAAAGTCTAGAACAACAGAGGAAGTTTGCTTCACTCACTTCCTTTCTTGACCTCCTTCCAGCGGAACTGGTACCTCCGTACCACAGAGAAGATGGAGTCGTATCCTTCCTCAGTGATCTTCTTTAAAGCCTCCTTTAGGTGGGATGGATGGAGACAAGGAGACGTAGCCTGGATGTTACAGAGCACCGTCACTTCTGTAAAAGAAAAAAAAAAAGAAAACAAACAAACCGTTATCTTCACTTTTCTATCATGGCCCTTTAGGTCCAATCGAAGTTAAACCCAATTAAAGTCGTCTGGTGTCCAGGTGAGCTTCTGGTACCTGGGTTTTTCTTGAGAAACTCCTGTATTGTCTCCAGGGACGTGGAGCAGTCCCTGGAGACTTCCTGGCTCCTCCGGTGGACTTTGGCCCCCCAGGATTTCGCCACTTTTTCAATCTCATCGTGGTCTGTTGAAACCCAAACACTGAAAACCACAGAAACAAAAACAGCTGGATTTCATTCATGTTTCATTTTTGTCCTGAATTTATTCTATATCATTAAATGTGTTAGAGACTGAAAGTTCCCAAATTGTCTTAGCTGACCACATCAAACTCAGACTGGATCAAGAACATCTGCTAATTTTGGGTTTCAAGTCCAACCACAGAGACACAACTGGACCTTTATGCCACTGTCCCTTAAAAGTAGGGTGACCAATCTTCTTCTTTTGCCGAGACACATACAATTTCTACATCCTGTCCAGCAAGTTTGGAGGGGGGTTATAAATTCACGAAAAAGTCTATTTTTCCACTATTCTTCATGGTACCATAGTTGGATGATTAAATCAACTGGTGCTTCTCACAGAAAATTACGGTATTTTGCAGCATGCCGTAATTCTCCAGGCGTTTTGTTAGACCTGGGAAAACAGAGGATGCTGAAGGTTTAATAGCATTTCATACTGGGAAACACCACCATAAGAAAGCATGTTCACTAACCTCTGAATCTGTGTCTCCATGGCAGGGCCGAGCGGTCACCCTACCTAAACATCAGTTTATCCAATCTGTGCCACCTGAGCTGTGGTTGCTGCAGCTCCTCTCATCACACTTTTGTCCACATTTAAAGTGACCTCTGCTGGTAGCACTGAGTTTTGCGGTGAGGGAAGGGGTCTCAATACCAAGCAACAAAATGTTTAAATAAAAAATATTTAGGAGTAGAAAAAGAAAGCTTGTTCTAAAATAAAGACAGGTGGCCCACAGTGTCTACAATGAAGGTAGGATGCTGAAACAGTCCTTCCAGGGCAAAATTAAATAGGCTTTTTTAAAAGCCACCTACAAAGTCTTAAGAGCATTTCCGGGTCGTCCTTTGTCAACATTATTTTCTCTCTTTCTTCTTGATTAAAAAAAGCTAGTCTTTGCTGCCTCATTCACTAAAATCCAATCCACTTTATTTATATAGCACGATTTAAATAAACACAAGGTTTCCAAAGTGCTGCACAAAAAGATAAAATAACTAAAATAAATAAAAGTAAATAAAATAAAAGCACTGCCCGCACAGGATAAAAATATGCATGTGTATACATAAAATCAACATGTGTACATAAAATCAACACTCTACATGGTGTCAAAAGCCAAAGAAAAGAGGTGGGTTTTAAGAAGAGTTTTAAAATGAGACAGAGAGGTGGCCTGTCTAATGTGCAGCGGCAATCCATTCCAAAGTTTTGGAGCTGCAACAGAAAACGCTCGATCCCCTCTGAGCTTAAAGGAATAGTACACCCAAAACATGATTAGCCTTCCTTTTCTACTCACCCCCATGCTGAACAACACTCTGGAGTACTTTTTTGATATCTCAAATGCATCTGGAGATCTGGGAGGCTTCTTGCTGTCTGCTGACATTCAAATAATGGAGGTCTATGGCGCCCGAGACAGAAAGGTCCATAAAAGTCCACAAAAAACGTGTCAATATTCCTCCATACTGCTCGTCCAATGTATTCCAAGTGTCCTGAGTGGGTAGCATCCATATTTTACTTGAAACGAAGTCATTTAGAATGTTTTTAGAGCATAAACAGTAGTGTATAGGATTTCCTGAAAGCGTGCACCGGCGCGTTCATGACGCTACGGAAGCCGGCAGACCAAACCAGATGAAAGTGCGCATTCAGCGTCTGCTCTGATGATAATGCAAGCGTAGAAGAAGAAATGTGCTGTTTACCTGTGCAAAGAAAGAAACAACCAAAGAAAAATGTCTGAGGACTTCAGTGTTGAGGAAGAGCATGAGTTCTTTGCCGAGCTGAATGCGCACTTTCATCTGGCTTGGTCTGCCGCGGTTTCCGTAGCGTCATGAACGCGCCGGCGCGCGCTTTCAGGAAATCCTATACACTACTGTTTATGCTCTAAAAACATTCTAAATGACTTCGTTTCGAGTAAATTCTGGATGCTACCCACTCAGGACACTTGGAATACATTGGATGAGCAGTATGGAGGAATATTGAGACGTTTTTTGTGGACTTTTATGGACCTTTCTGTCTCGGGCGCCATAGACCTCCATTATTTGAATGTCAGCAGACAGCAAGAAGCCTCCCAGATCTCCAGATGCATTTGAGATATCAAAAAAGTACTCCAGAGTGTTGTTCAGCATGGGGGTGAGTAGAAAATGAAGGCTAATCATGTTTTGGGTGTACTATTCCTTTAAGCCTTGCTTTAGGCACTGTCAGGAGCAGCTGATCAGCTGACCTGAGAGATCGGCTGGGAGTGTAGGGGTGCAGCAGCTCAGAGAGGTAAATTGGGGCAAGGCCATTCAAGGCTTTAAAAGTAAATAAAAGAATTTTAAAATGAATCCTAAGATGGATGGGCAGCCAGTTGAGTGAAGCTAAAATAGGTGAAATGTGCTTCTACTTGCGTGTGCCAGTTAAAAGACGTGCAGCAGCATTTTGAACCAGTTGAAGACGAGCAATTGAGGACCCAGTAATCCCCACATAAAGTGCATTACAGTAATCCAGCCGAGTGGTCACAAAGGCGTGGATTACTGTCTCAAAGAATAAAACAGTGGTCAGTTAATGATGCTAATTTCTACGGAAGAGGATTAGGGCCACTGAAAAAAAAAAAATGTTAACTGATTTTTAAATTTTATTTCAGTTTAACAAAGGAAAGGAATTCTGACTTTATTCTCAGAATTCCGACTTTAATCTCAGAATTCTGAGAAAAAAAGTCAGAATTCTGACTGTTTTCCCATATTAAACTGAAATAAAATTTTATAAAAATCAATTAACTTTTTGTTTGTTTTTTTCAGTGGCCCTAATCCTCTTCCGTAAATGTCCTATAATTGTGAAACCTAATAACAAAATGTCAATGTTCATGAGAGAGCAGTTGAAGAATTGATGGATTTGATGCTGTAATCGGTGATCAGTACTCGATTATACATGCATCTGACCAATTTGTCCTCAAGCAGCCAAACGTTCCTATAACATCTCAAAACCCAAAGTTATCCAGAAGGTTCTCTATTGGCTTTTTATAGCGATCTCACCTAGTTTTAGTGCAGTAAGCTGACATTTTACAAAGGAGTGGCCTTGTTTGTTTAAGCCTTGTGACGCTGACATATGAGTCACTCAGACATAAGGCACAAGATTGATAACTTTTTAAGATATAACCACTTTTCTAATTGATAGATTATATTAAATGTGACAGAAAATAACCATATCTGTGTTTCTAGGTTTTATTAGAAATAGTTTTTTGTTTTTATCAGGAGTTTATGAGATAACTAAGGGGAGAGAGAGACAGCGGACAATCCTGTCAAACTTGTCTCTGATTCTGAATAGAAGAATTTTTCTTTTAAACACTGGGACATAATGTCTCAAAGCCATTGAATGTGGAAGGACATGTCTTTCAGGTTTTTGGTGCAGAGCAACTGGCAAACACTTGGTACAAATCCTATTTTCAGAACACTTCTTAATCAGGGGTCGTCCAATACTTGGATTAATGTCTCATCTGATCATGATCGGATTTTCTCAAAGTTTCTTCTTTTTGTTTTTTTTTAAGGTTGTCTCAACGCCATATTGATATCAGAAATCAGTCCTATATCAGCCAGTGCAGAATCTGAAAGAACAGCCTGCATCTAAAATCTCCTATGTCAGCACACTGATAGAAATACTCCACTTCTATCAGCTTCTGTTTACATTTTATATAACCAATTGGTGTGTAAGAACTAGTTCTGCTGTTCTCATATGTAATTTTTTTTTATTGTTGCTCTCAGTTTTAATTACATCCCATGATCAAGCCTATTCTGACATTTCAACCTACAAAATAATAAATAAAAGTTCTATGAGATGTGCTGGTACAATACTGGGTGAATATCTGCATCAGTCAATACTCAAAGCTACAATATTGGTATCATATCAGAAATTAAAGAGTTTATCTGGACATCCATTGTTTTTTGCATCCCTTAAAATGAAGCAAAGGGCTTTTGTTTAAAAGATATTCTAAGTTTTTTACCTTTACATTACACACAAACATCAAAAACACCGATCAATTGGCCAATCATTACAATCAGCCAATATTTTCACACTGCAAAAATTGAAATTTAAGCAGGTAATTATTATTAAGAGGTATTTTTCCCTCAATTTTGGCAGGTAAGTAAAATAATTTACATTTAGAATAAGAAAAAACACCACATTATATTATTTCAAGTGTATATTATCTAAATGTCTTATTTTAAGGGCAAACATGCTCATTCTATCTGCAGATTATGTTATTTATCTCCTCAAATATACTTCAGATACTTATCTGGAAAAAATGTGTAGTTTAAGATCAGTTTTAGCAACTTTGTGGCTTTTTTCACTGATCAACAGATCAGACAGAATTATTTTTTTTTTAAATATACATTCAAACAAAACTTCAATCTTTGTAATTTGGATCAAAAACACAGCTAATTTGTTTCTTTTTTATATATAGTCGCATGCCTTGAAGCAGAAACAAAAATCAGAAAAGGTCAAAGTAAGTAAGTAAGTAATGTTTATTTATATAGCACTTAAAATTGACTCCAAAATTAAAATGATCATAAAAAAACTCCTAATCTACTGGAATTAAAATGCTTGCTTATACAATTAGGTTTTCAGTTCACAGTTAAAAACATCAACAATGAATCAAGGAAGCACAAGGAAAGTGGAAGATTGTTCCAGAGCACCGGCTGCCTGAAAGGAGCGATCTCCCCTGATCCCCTAACGAGTGCGAGGGACCATGACTAAGTTCTGGTCCTGAGACCTCAGCCTCTGAGAAGGGGGTGTATGGACACAACAAGTCTCTAATGTAGGAGGGAGCCTGACCATGAAAGGCCATGAAGGTCAGCACCAGGATTTTAAACTGGAACCAAAAACAGACTAGGAGCCGATGAAGAGCTTTTAGAATCGCCGTCATATGAGCCCTTCTACTTGTACGAGTCAGTAACCTCGCCGCGGAGTTCTAAAACCTGCTGAAGACGATACAACTCCTTTTTGTTTAGACATGAGAATAGACTGTAACAATAGTCTAAATGGGAAGACACAAAGACGTGGATAATCATGTAAAGATCATCTCTGTACACAATTGTTCAGTTTAGAAATTTTCCTCAGTTGGTAAAAACAGCTCCTTGTCAGCAGTTCTGCGTGGAGCTCTAAGGACAAAGTGATAATGGAGAGGTCAGAACTCAAAGGCCAATAAAAAAAAAAAAAGGATTACACAGAAAACAAAAAACTATTGCTTCATTTTAACACCAAAATAAAAGCACCAATCAAAATGATCAAATTTGAATCTAATGAAGAAGTTATTCATCTAACCAAGTTGGACCATACAGAGATCACCATGTCATTGACATTATTTATGCTTCAAACATCCCACTATTGCTCTAAAATGTCTAGATAAACCTAACAGCACCCCTCATGCCCTCAAACTAAAGTACAAACATTGCTTTTCACATTGGACCAGTTTTATTGATCAATTCAACATATATAGCATATAAATTGACTTACAGAAGTTAATACCAATGTTACTACCAATAGTTAGTGCACCCCTACTCTAACTTATGAAATACATCTTTAAAAAAAGCTTAAAACACTAAAAGCTCATTGATGATGCTGCAAAAATGTTGTTTTTTTAGCAACATTGCAAAAAAATATGCAAAAATTCCTAATAAAAGTTCACCCTGTGTGCAGATCTAACTGGCAGAGAAATGTGCATTTTTTTTTACTTTGACAGTGTAAGGTTCCCTGCACATAAATGAGATGGAAAGAAAATAACAGAAAACGTTTATATGGCAAATTGAAATGTAGCATGATGTGCATAATGTCCAGCAGGTCAATATCAGTAATAAAACTCAATAAAACAGCAGTAAAAACTCAGCAACGATAAAAACTGAATATAAAACTATACAGAAGAACTCTAGCTTGAAGGCTAAATAATATCTAGGTAGATTTTATCCTTTATTCTAGCATATTCTTGGAAATGGAGCCAGTTTGAGGTACAGCAGCACAAAAGCAGTTATATCATAGATGAAATAGTTTAAATAATTGTTAAAACTAGCATTATAAGGTGCTTTTGAATCCTTTTATAATATATATTTTCATAAATATGTTATCAGAGAAGATATTAGTCCAGAATTTAACCTGAGCCTTGATAGTTGGTTGCTATGGTGATGGTTGTTTAGGTAAATCAAGGGCAAAACAACAAGCTAACTAAAATGTATTTGCCTTTAATGGCTCATGGGTCGAACCTACCTGTCGAACTCCTCGGAGTCGATAGCCGCTCTCAGCACCCAGCCGATGAGAGGAACCCCAGCTAGAAGCTTGATGTTCTTCAGAGGAATTCCTTTGCTTCCCCCTCTGGCTAGAATGAGAGCAGCTACGTGTCTTTTCCCACTGGGACAGAGCCGCTTGCTGCTACTGCTGCTGGTTCTGTCTGGCAACGTATCATTTTCACGGTTGCGTCTTTTCCGGGCAGCCATGTTCACTTTAAAGTCTTCTTTTCGGCGCTAAAAGACAAACTGGCTTAGCCGGTCAATGACAAGTCGAGGAAAATGTAGCAGCTTCAGTTGTCAGCCTGCTTCTTCTTCTTCTTCTTCTTATATTTTTTTCTTCTTCCTCTTCTTCTTCTTGTGAGGTTGGCAAATTTGTGAGAAGTGCATTACCGCCACCTACTGATATGGAGTAAAGCAAGGAAACAGGAAACGATTCACCACAGAAACAAAACAAAAAAAAAACTGTGTAACTTTACCCAACATAATAAATACTTAATCACCTTTGCTCTAATAATTTTAATTTATCTTTAAGTCATTGTCAATCTGCCAGTTTCTGATGGTCTAATCGGTTTTCCCATCATGCTTTCAACCATTTCCAAGTTTAAATCTTTCACTTCCAGATGTTTTTCTGCAGCTTTCACTATTATTTTTGATTTTTTTTCGATCACTTCAACCATGAAAAGAACAAAATCTTTCTTTTTAACAAGAATCTTCTTCAATTTTGGGACATTTCTCTAGAGGTTTTGAATTTGCCATGTGTTGAACTGTAGGTTTGTTTGTTTTCTAACTGAGATGGGATCCTTTTTGCAGCTTCAGCGTAAGTTATTCCGAGCTCAAATTTAAATTTTTTTATTTCCTCAGACCTTTTGTTGATTTCACAACCACAATATGCAGCAGTATGTTCTCCACCACAGTTACAGCATTTTATTTTAGCTTCTTTTCCACATTTTCCGTACTCATGCTCTCCAGCATACCTTCCACATCGCTGTTTTCCTTTACAAACTGCTGCTATGTGTCCGAATTTTTGGCATTTGTAACATCTCAGAGGTGGTGGATTGTATATTTTGACATTATAGCTGATGTAACCAATGAACACTTTGCATGGTAATTACTCTTCCTCGAATTTACATAAATAACACAGATAAACTGTCAGATTCCTCTCCGTTTCTTGTTGTTTTTAACCGTTTTACTTCTTTTACTTTTGCACCACTTATGTTTTCTATTATCTCTTTTTCAGAACTCCTCCAATGACTACCCTGCTGATCTTTTTATTCTCACCAAACTGCACTGAACTCTTATCCCGTCAATTTTGTTGATCGGAATGGCTTTGCCTTGCTGGGCGCTGTCTCTGCAGTTGATCAACAGATCTCCACTGTACAAGATTCTGGCACCTCTGACTTTTCCTACAAGTTTATTTATGGTTTTTGTCAAGTGAACCGGATTCCAATTTGCAAAAGAGTCTGCCTGATTAACTAGTTTGAATATGACTTTGTACTCATTTTGTTTTGCTGTGGAATTTATGGATTGATCATCACATGAATGTTCAGAACTGGACTCCCCTTCAACTGATCTCTGCTTTTTCCGCTTTTTCTCATTTTTTGAGGCTACCCTCTTCCAATCTTCTTCATTGTCACTATTTCCCTCTTCCATCCCACAAGAATCGCTTCCTGTTTCCTCACTACTCACGGCCATGGACATTTCTCCACAAGCAACTTCGAAACACGCGCCATGCACCAAACGACCTCATGTTTTTTAGTGGCGGATGGCAACCAACTTAAGGTGCATTTACCGCCACCAACCAGACTGGAGTGTGGTTATCAATGATGTCAGAGGGATGTTATTAAATCATACCTCAACGGTATGAACGAATCTCTATTATCTATCAATCAATATCTACCCAAACTCACATTAATACGACTGAATATTCACATGCATATACACACTTATATTCTTTATTTAAATACGATTAAATAATCCAGTGTTTTGGGTTTTTTTTAAAAATCTAATTAATTGGTTTCTAGCAGAATTCGATGTATTTCCTGGAAGGTCTATCATTGAAAATCAATTTTTTTCTCTATTTAGTGTTACCTTTAAATGCTGATGTTCCTGTGAATATTTATTACATTCCATTAGTACATGTTCCACTGTTTCTATCTGATTACAGTGATTACAAGTCCCTGTGTCATGTTTCCCTATTCTGAAAAGAGAATTATTAAGTCCAGTATGACCAATAATAAGTCGAGATATTATTACTTCTTCTTTCCACCTTTCTTTTGTGCAACTCTAACCCCCCACAGTCTTCTGAATTTTATATAGATCTCTACCAGTGTCATGATTGTCCCATTGTTCCTGCCAAATCTTACATATTTTATTTGCAATTATAGATTTACCCTCACTTTGGCTTAAAGGAATACTTAAGTTAATAATATCTGATTTTAAGGCCTATTTAGCCAATATATCTACTTCATTTCCTTCAATCCCTACATGAGCAGGAATCCCGACAAATCGAACAAAAATAATCTTATTATGAAGCTGAACTAATAGATGATATATATGTAATAACAAATCTAATCTACAAGACTTGCCAGATTTGATACTTAATAATGCTGCTTGACTATCTGATGCAATAATATATTTATTTTCCTCTTTAACATTTTCATCAACCAACCCTTCTAAAGCTATCATAATGGTATCAGCCTACTTTAGAAGCAGAAAACAAGATAATGAGAGGCTGCGCTATCGCCCCCATGTGGCATGGAATGAAAACTCCAACAAAACGAATTCTTCTTTTCTATTATGGCGGATCACAAGCAACTTTAAGTTGCATACTGCCACCTACTGTACATAATGGTGTAGCGGCATTACATCAAATTCTATTTTTTAATTTAGTATTCTGTAAATAAATAAATAATGCTTTCTTTAATCAGTGAATATTATTATTTTATTTTCTTCATTTCCCAATATGCCTTTAAGACTCCATTATTTGCCTGTCCTCAATTTCTCCCTTTCATGTTAATAAGTTTTACAGTTAATCAGTACATCTTCTACATTCTCTTTTTTTCCTCATCCTTCACATTTATCATTATTTTTCCTCCCTATTAAATATAAATTGTCATTTAAATAGGTATGACCCACTCTTAATCTGATGATTATTACTTCTTCCCTTTTGTTTGTCTCATTAATGATTCTATTTAATACTGATTTTTGGACGTTATATAATCCTCTTCCTTTCTTTACTCTAAAAAAGTGATTTACCTTCCCCTTTCCCAAAAGGAATTGTAATGGTTATTGTTCCCTCTGGAGCCCTTTTTGCTAATATATCTGCCTTTTCATTGCCTTTTATACCTTCCTGTGCTGGAACAAAAAATAACCAAATATCAATCCCACCGCTATAGACTGTACTGGATTTCTAATACTAGATATTTTCTATCATTTCCTTCTCCCTGAATGATTTCTAAAACTGCTTTGGAATCTGTAAAGACCACCACCCTGTGTGGTCTAACCTCCTCCACCCATTCTAAGCTTAATATAATTACCAACATTTCCATGATTCTTCTTCTTCTTTATAATGGCGGTTGGCAAACAACTATTTGTTGCATTTCGCCACCAACCAGTAAGGATTGTGGATCAGGACACGTGCTCAAAATAAATAAACAAACAAATAACTAAATAAATATAAAAAAAATACTAATTGATTATATGGCCTATATGTTTCCAATAAATAACAGAGATAATCTTATAGGCTGTATCATAAGTATTTTTCCTTAAAATGTTTATAAGATTAAACTGCTCTTTTTCCTGTTCAAGATTCCTTCTCACCTGTATTTTTTGTCTCTGATACTTCCTACAGCTATACATTACATGTTCTGGCAAATAATGATCAAAGGAGGGAGGCGGGTAAATTAATTTCTTCCCATGTTATGGAGGGGGATTGTTATGTGTGATAGCATGTAGTCCACTAGAAATGTCCTTAATCCAGTAATCTGTCATATTTTACATTAGAACAGGATTTAGCAGAAAATCTACACTCTCATCTCCCCCCTCAGGGCTAAGCCCCCCGATCCCCTAGAATCCTAGATCCGCCCCTGGTCACCAGTTAAGATGTTCACCAGTTGAAGTGGAACAATGGGCAAAAGTGTGCGTTTAGTGAGCCAAGTAGAAATGATTGAATATTCCAAAGCTTTGAGCAACATTGTGAGGAGCGCATTGAAGCTCTGAAACAGTCAGTGCAGCGTCTTAACGCGCGGGAGGCGAACCTGCAGGCTACTAAAGCCTTGGATGAACAGCTGCTGATGGAGAAACACAGCTGGACACAGCAGCCCCGCTCCCATTGAGTCCCTCACAGACTCTCCCAGTTTCAAATAGAAGCTTGAGATGCTGCATGTGGTGGAGAATGATGCGCCTGATGGTGGCAGAAATAGCGAAGATCGGGAACGCCTCTCTGATCCCTGCTCCGAACGAGGATCAGGAAGCCAGTGATCTGGGAGGATATGACAGCTATATGGACAACTTTAGCAGCTAGGTTGTTATTAACCTGTCAGTTACTTCTAGAACACTAAGAATAAATAAGAAATTAGAAGGAATAATCAACAATAACCATCCATCCATCCATTTTCTTTACACGCTTGTCCCGAGTGGGGTCGCGAGGGGTGCTGGTGCCTATCTCCAGCAGTCAATGGGCGAGAGGCGGGGTACACCCTGGACAGGTCGCCAGTCTAACAATAACCTCTATATCTAACTTTTAGTGAGAGTCGCTGAGTTCCCGCCGGTTACTAGGGCAACAGCTGTCCTCGAAATCGGGAAGAGGAAGGTTAAACCAAAAGACATTAACGGTCTAATTCTATGACGTCACATAGCCACGCCTCCTTTACATTTCGTGACCCGCCTAGTCTGTCCAGGTAATCATTCCACTGAAGCCATTCTTACAGTGACCTCTGCTCGGACTGCATGTTGTTTGTTGACTACCTGCTGGAAAACAAAAACAGAACAGAAATGTCTGAGTCAAGACAAGAAATGAAAAACCACATTTACATCGCCACTGGAAACTTGGAGGAGATTGTCCAACCCATGCTGGGAACGCTGTCACCAGCCCAGTGGGCCTTGCTTTCGCAGGGTCAATCGGATTCCCAAATAACAACAGTCCTGGGAGATATTATCACCACCATTTTTCAGCAATGTGTGGAAAATGCATTGAGGATCCTTATTCCACAGATTGGAGAGAATCTGCAGCCTGGTGTAAAGACCGCAACCCCAACGGAAAGTATCCGAGTGAGTTTGACCAACATGATTTCAACAGAAATCGCAAATGTCCTGCATGTTGAACCCGAATTC